GAGCCTCAAGGACCAAATGGACAAGTTTTATTTGAATAGATTTTTTGTTGACAGTCAAAGCTTTTATTTTACTTAGTGGGCACATAATCATAAGAAATATCTGTGGGTTTAAATGTCAAATACATACCCAAAGTAAATATTTTATTGTGGAAGAATGTAAGGAAATTTTAGGAAGTATTTTTTTTAAATAGCAACCAGGATATTCCTTTGATCTACTGTAGTTGTCACCCATCAAGAAAAGAAGGAATAACTACTCACAGGTCTCTTGTTGAATAACAACATAGTTTCCATGGGACATTGAAATAGCCAGGAAAACCTTATCTAACTCCAATATGCAATTTTTAAACACTATTCCATATACTGGAGAGAAAGAGAAGCCACTGCACACCAATGACATCACTGTAATCCAAGTTTATTGTACCGATAACCATAACAGCAGTCCCCGCCTGAGGACCACCCCCTGTAATGCATTTCACTCAATAGGGCTCTCTACAACCAAGTGCTTTGCTTGTTAACTAAAACAATGTGTATAGGCCACAGAAATAAGGCTACACTTACTAAGGTACAACGTGAATTAAAACATACCTCAATAATCATCAGATTGTTTTGTTTTACTAAAATATCATTGGTTGCTGTGTGTAAATGCACTTCGCACAACTATTTGATTTAGCCCTTCTTCATCAAATAAGTTCTAAACTTTATAGAGGCTTCAGTTTAGTATAATGTGAAAAAATACCTATTTTATCAGATTAGTAATGGGTTACCAAAAGGGGGTACTGTTGCTTTCAATGACCACCAATGTGGGGGATTCCTTCCGCCACTGACCAACAAAATTTAAGGGAGCCCTTGTTTATTGGCCAGAAATGTAAGAAGTAACTACATTGACCACCAGTGTAGGAGTTACATCTTCATCAACTGTCTGACTATTTAATTGGACACCTCTTCACTGACCACCAATATAACAAGGTACTTCTCCACTGACCATCAAAGTAAAGGGGGTCTAAAACTTACTGCACTTCTTTTCTGGAGATCATTATAATATACTTTATTTCATAATTTACACTGACAAATAAATGTGTCATACAGTATATAAAAGAAAAGTGTCCAAAAGTATCTGCCTTGGGTTTTAAATACTTTACAAATGTAATTTTTATACAGGGATTCCCTGAAATCTAGAAATTGCATCAATGGTTCCTCAAAAGTTAAACATTCGAGAAAGGGAGTCTTATGCTGGCCTCTATGCAGTGTATGAGTCCCAGAATTGAAAGCATCACTCTGTGAAACTACAGGACACTCAGTCCAACCAGCTACTGTACGTTCCCTGATGAAGTGGGCGTTGAGTGACCCTTGAAATGCTTTGGAATTTGCATTCTATTTATGTTTGGAGTCTCAGTGTCATAATATACCATACATGGACATTAGCCTTGTATGGTACACTTTGGAAGTTAGATTGCAAGCCAATGAAGCCAGTGTCAATTTTTGGTCTGGTGCTCCTTTTTGTATTTCTATGGTTTGAATTACCATTGGGTGCCTATTGAGGGAAGCCTTGCTGTGTGGAAGCTGCCTAACCAGAGCTATTGAGCTTGTTTGATGTTTTCCTTCATCTGACTACACATGAAAGTCTAAAATTTCCTAGAGCCTCTTTAGGCATGTTTTTCCCAAAACCAGGGAAGCCGGCTGACAGGTGAATGTAAACAAAGGAGTGGGGGGATTGTAAATAAAAAACAGCTTAGGTCCCCTTCAGAATAATTCATACCATGCCCTTCAGATCTGGTATGGATTTTAGGGGGAAACCACATGCAAAAAAAGTAGTATTTCATGCAAAATACATAAAAGACCCTTACAAGAACATGCAGCCTAGCTAGCCAGGAAAAGGAGGATCCCCCCTGGCAAAGCACTTTGTCTCCATGTTGATGAACACAAGGGTCTCTTCCCTACAACTCTGGCCCAGTGGTTGTGGTGGTCTGCAAATTGGGGCTTATTGGAATCTGTAAGCCCCTTTTAAAAGGGGCCACTAGATACTGACTCTCCCCAGCTGAATGTGTATAGGGTACATAGTACTCCTACTGTAAATCCACTGTCAATCACATCGTCCAGTGATGCATATCCACGTCAGTCATAATGAATGACCCACCGATCACCAACGTAATCTGCCCCAATGACTTCTCGCAGCAAAAGACAGCTCCTAATCGCCACCGAGGAATGTAAACAAAGAGTCTGAGTATCCTGGGTGATGTAATTTACCAAATATGGACATCTTAGTAAGTGTCAATTTTTCTGTGGCAGGCTATATACATTGTACAGTTCAGACAATTCACATCAGGTTAAGGACATATCCCTGTGAATTTTATTTAAATGAATTTTGCATTAATGTTGCCCTTTAAACTTTATTAAAATCACTGCAACCCCCCCCCCCCCCTTATCCCCCACCATGCCATTTGTTTCACAGTTATTTACCTATGATTGTAGAATATGGTTATAACTGCTTTTTTAAATGATAACTTGTCTTCAAAGGGGTTTGGACTCAACACAAACATCCCCTAAGGCTGGCCATACACTATACAATTTTCTTACAAATTTCTGTCCAATTTCTGCCCAATTTCTTTTAGATTTACCTTCAACTATGCAGTGCAAGGGTCTGCTTAATTGGATAGGGTTAAAGTGTTGTTTAGGTTTGACCTCATATTGTATGGTTTTTTTGGTAAATCTAAAGCAAAAATCTCAAGAAAATTGTATAATGTATGGCCAAATGTACAGTGGTTCCCTTGTTGTGAGCTATCCTCCATAGAAAAGAACAACACACATTATGTAGTAAAGTATGTTAGAAGAGTAAGAGAGAAACTCTGACAGCTTATATAAGCGTACCCCAAACTAGACTGCTGCATTGAGTCAGGAAGCACAGCAGGATGTTCTGTCATTGTTAAACATGTTTACCAGTAAGGTGTGTGTATTGAGAGATCATCCCATGAGTTACATCACTTTGTTTTACTCCTGTTGAAAGACGTTGAGCAATAAAGATCTATACTGTCAAGTTTCAGTCAACATGTAACTTCCAATGACCAAAGGGGTAGCAATTGCTGTATTATTAGTTGCAGACTGTGGGAAGATGTCTGGGTATTATTTGCAATTTTATTATTTTAATGCCAAACATGTAATATAACTTCAGCTAAAACAGAGATACAGTTTTTACATGCCTTAGATTTTTTTTAGCAGTGGTGGTCAACACATAAAGTGTAGGGGGTCTCAGCTGTGGCCCCTGACAATACCACTGAGCCACACATAATATACAGAATGTATAATGCCATAGAGGATATGTTAAAGTGGATCATCAGAGATCAGAGATAGTGGATATTCTACAGGAGATAGACAGTGTGTACATGCTACAGGTGTGGTTGAAGACCTAAAACACATGACAGAAGATAATCAGATATTGAGTATATGTTACAGGAAACTGCTAAAGATCATTGTTATTGCAGTTCATTTACAAAGCAATGCTTCCACTCCCTCTACTGGGACCTGAGGGCTGCACAAGTACCAAAGGGCCACAGGTTGGGTACAAGGGATCTAAACGCTCAACTAATTATCATTGTTGCTTTAGTAGAGGACATATTTGAAAAGCACCTTTTTTTAAAATAAAAAAGTTTCATTGCCATATGCACAAAAATATACAGAATAACAGGTCTGTGTAAAAACAATTTCTGGTACAAAATCCTAGAGGGAATATACAGATAAGAACAAAAGCGAGTCCATAAGTATTATCCAGTTCTACCAAAACATTGCACAGTGTAGCACAACCAAATGGCTAATCAGATGTTGTCTGCAAAGCCATACAGTAAATATAATAAGATGGATACCATAAGTACATACAGTATAGTAGTTTTCACATGTATTATTTTGAGTGCAGCAATAAGATGTTGCTTCTTAGTAATAGAGATAGGAAGAAAAGGAAAACTCAACAGGAGAAGAAAAGGAAAACAGAAAGAGAACAGATTTGAAACCAGACTTTGTGGAGTGAACTCCTACACTTCCTCCACATGGAAAACACCATTTTCATGTCATGCTAGTAACCAATTAAAATGATGTGTATTTATCTGAGCTATATGTTTCTTCTTTTAAAATGTCCATAATTTGTTGAAGTCCAATTTGTTTGCATTCAAATAATTTATTGTAAAATCATTAACAAGCATGTGACTGGATATTGCATGATTCTTGTCGTTTCAGCAGAATTATAGTTGCTTTAAATATTTGTATGCTTGAGTTAGGAGATAATTGGTGTTTACAGGAAGTTGCGTTATGACATGGACAATAATACAATAATGTGAATGTTAATATACAGAAAGAGACTTGATACAGGAGAATATTTTTGCTAATCAGACATACTAAGTAATCAGTACTTCTTTTTGTTTTGGACTGGTGCAGTTAATTTTTCCAACAGGTTGCTTTGCAAATGATTTACAGTTTATTGGAGATAGTGACTAAATTCTTGTTGAGTCACAGATTAATTTAGGATTATAAAATTGTATATAAAATGGCCTAACCTCTGTTTTTATAGTCATTCCAGCTACACCCTACAGAAAGAGTAAAATATACTTGTCTATTGGCTAAGACTGAAAAACAACCTTGAATATCTGAAAAAAATATATTTGTAATTTTAGATTTTAATATATAAATACCAAAACACAATACACCTTTTTAAATATTATTTAGGGTACAGATTACCTAAACTACAACCCAACATGTTTCATCACTAAAACAGAGCTTCCTCATGGGAAATTGGTGATAACAAAATGTAACTGTTTAATGCACACACACCAAAATACCAGAAATATTTAAAAGTTGATATAGGTGTCCATTTATGACACAGAGAATAGCTGCGATTCAGAGGATCGCAGCTATTCTCTGGTCATTTAACAGTTTATGACACTCAGGAGATCAGCGGAGAACATCAGTTCAGCCCTTCACTGGAGATCTGTGTTCTCCCTCCAGATTCTCCAGCCCAGAGCTGGAGAATTGGAGGAACCACATACTAAGCAGCGATAATTTACCTCTGTTTAGTAAATTAGTCTTTTACTGTAATCTCGCGAGATTATAGTAAAATCAGCCGTTTTCCAGTGTTTGTAGACCATTCTCTAGCGTTTGTAGACCGTTCTCCCTTCGTTTGGAGAACTGATCTACACTGCTTCATAAACTGCATTCACAGGAGAACTGTGTTCTTCGAGAATGCCGGACAACTAAGCAGAGATCTATTACCGCTGGTTCATAAACGGACACCTTAGTTGTGGCTTTGTAAGCACAAATTAGCGCGTAGTGAAAGCTTCTTTGTTGGTTTCTAACCCTTGTTGAAAATAAATAGTTATGATAGTTAGTCACATTGTCTGGAGTTTTATAAGGCAAAATTTTATTTTTAAAACAGCAATAAATGTTATGTACAACAGTCTTAGGAATCAGATATCTATGTACATATTTTTCTCCAAATGGGAACAAAAAAGTCTTCTCCACGCAATCTACACAATCTTCTTCTACACAATCTACCCTATGGGGCATATTTAAAAAGCAGTGAATCTGACACTCACCAAGCACTGCAGATGAATCTTCCAGGTGATTGTGTTTTGACATTGATTGATCCACCAGTGATTGTTTGGTAAAAAATCTATTTTTTGCGTGCTTTAAATATTTTTTAGAATTACCAGTTTTTAAATTGATGTTTGCATCTTTTTAACTACCTGTATAAAATCTTTCTTTAAAAAAATGTATTACAGGTTGCATAAATTACCTTTTGAAAAGTATTCTAGGCTTTCTAAAAAGAAAGCCCAGCACTGCTTGTGTTCTTTCTTTATCAGTTTTTTTGACTGCTATGAACTGCTACAAATCACCACTGCTTTTATCTAAGCCGAACGATGTAGTGCTATACTGGAATGCTACACGTTTGTGCGATTCCTATTCTATTTACACCTTTAAACTGGTTATTTATATTTTGACTCTGATTTAACATAGAGACTGACATGTCTGTGAGTAAGAAGTTTAAAATAATCACTGATTTTCGACTGCCAATTGTTCAACACTGGCAGTATGCATTTAAGAAGTGGAAACAACTTCTGAACTATCTCCGTGTGCTCTACAAAACTGTGTCAATGTTTCCACTAAGACACATTCACTTTTAGTAAAAGTTGCTTTTTAAAAATGTGGGCTGTTAAAGTAAAATTGCAGCAAAACCTATCTACTCCTAAAAATGTTCCTTTACCCTTCCTAACACCTTTTCCTGACTAACTTGTCCAAGAAAAACCTGTATACTTACCTATTTTCAGGTGACACTGGTCCGGTCATGTGATATAGCTGTCCTATGTCAGCCAACACCGGTTACAGGGGAGAGGAGAGAGTGCTTGATAATGTCTAGTAATTCCTGGAAGTGGTAGCGTCACCCATAGGCTCATTTGGCCCATCCATTGCCGGCACTCCCTCCTGTCCCCTGCAGCCACCACTGAATGACAAAGGGGAGCTGGATCAAGTGACCAGACCGAGGCAGCCTGAAAACAGGTTAGTCTGAAAAGGTGTTAGGAGGGGGAAGACAACATTTTAGTAGTTAGGTTTTGCCTGGAATTCTACTTTAACCATAGATTATGAATTTAGTACGCATTGAAATTTTTTATCATTTTTATAACAAGCAACATTTGCATATGTATTATTGCTGCAGTGACAATTAAAGCCTTTTTTTATTATTACTAAAGGCTCCAAGTTTATTACACAAAATTATTCTTCTCCTACAGGGTTCATTGGTTATTCCATATGTGTGTCCAACACTTACTTTTCTTTTTAGTTTCAAAGCCACCAGCTGCGTATCACCCTGCCCTTGCTCACCTGGATTTCTGGGTCGAGGAAGCGTATACACAGAGCTTCTCACAGGGAGAAGGTCACTTGGACAGCAGAGGCTACTGTACAGTAAATCCTCTTGTCAAGAAGAAGAATGAGCAGGGGAGTGGCTTGCTGTGCTATCTGTAATAGGGGATGCCCACAATGGTAAGGACACTCGGCTGCAGTCCCAGGCAGAAGCAAGGTGGCACAATGGGACCCTGCAAGGGAATGGAGCCACCCTTCAACAGGGACCTGAGTATTTTTGCTCATGGAAGATTCAGCAACTGAAGGCATTAAATTAAAATTACCCAGCAAACCTAGTAAGTGCTAAGGCCTGCAGCACTATAGTTTTTTTTTGTACAAATTTGGGTTTAATAACACTTTAACCATGAAATCCAAAAACGTAGATGGGCTCATTGAGAAAGTATATAAGCAATTTTCAAAGTTAATGTGTATTCACACCAAATTGGGATGACAACTACTTTTGTTACATTTTCTCATTCACATTGCATAACTTAAAAAAAATGCTGCTTACATTTTGCTTGCTATTTTCTGAAAAGTCCAAAACTGAAGTTTACCTCTGGTCTGCTGTGCTTCAGGTTTTTATTATCAGTTGTAAACCAGATCTGAGGACTGCCTGTCCTAAAAAAGAGTGAAGACCTAGAAGCTGGACTTCTGCATTGTATGTTAATGAAGGAAAACTCAGTATGCCCCTCCTCCTAGGGATATATTGAGTTTTCTCTCATTTCAGATTGTTCAGAGTAGTTTGCAGGTTGCCAAAAGCCTGCTTCAAACAAACACCTAAAACAGTAAGAATTTTCTAAAAATTATTTTTAGGTATGCTATGTGAATAGGAATACATAACACATACAGTATGGTAAGGTTTTCTCAAATTTGACACCAAAATTGGATGCATTTGTACCTGTTCCCAGACTATGGACAATAAGCAATTTACATAATGCTAGTGAGCAGTAAAAGAACTTTAAAACAAGCTATCACTTGCCTCTCTAGCTGCTTATAATGTGATGTAATTAATTCTCAAAGATCAAAAATATCACAAACTATGATTCTGATTTTAGATGTCAGTTTAGGTCAGCTTCAGATCAGCCTTTTGATACAAATAAACCCTTGTGATCATTTGTGGATCTCAAGGACCCCCCCCCCTCCACACACACACACACACACACACACACACACCTTCAACCAAAAACACACACTCCATGAAACATTAGCATAAGCAGATAATTGTAGATATAATGTTAAATAACATATTGTGGTGTATTTAACACAGAGAGTAGATCATTGTTCTGTTCTATAAAACAACATTATTTTCAGCAACAGTCATGAAATGAAACAAGCAAATATTATTATTATTATTTTTATTCGGGATTATTATACACAACAGTGTGCGCAGCAGTTTTGCAATATAAAGGGAGACAGTGCAGCTACAATACAATAAAATAAAGGAGGGTTAAGGGGGCCCTGCTTATAAGAGCTTACAATCTAATAGGATGAAGCAAGTGGTACAAAAGGTAATAAGTGTGAGGGATAAGCTCATGGAAGAATTAAACGTTCAGTTGTTAGGTGGAGGTGGGAAAGGCTTCCCTGAAGAGATGAGTTTTCAGGGATCACCTAAAGGTAGCCAGAGTAGGAGATAGTTGGGCAGATTGAGGTAGAGAGCTCCAGAGGATTTGAGAGGCTCTGGAGAAATCTTGGAGAGGAGCACGGGAGGAAGAGACAAATGAGCTAAAGAGCAGGAGGTCTTTGGGGAGCGTAGAGGATGGTATGAGAGATATTTTGAGACAAGATTGGTGATGTAGCTCAGGGCAGAGTTATGAATGACTTTGTATGGTAATAATAACAGTCAGAAAAGAAATGCAGAGTGAATATTTGAGTGTCCTTTTACATTGGTAGCCAAAAGAGCCATGACCTCTTACTGGTAACCAGTAGAAAAGAGTCCCTTACATTAGTGGCCAGTGGAGAGGAACAGCCTTAAATTGTTGGTCAGTGGAAGGACTTCCTTTCATTTCTAGTCAGTGGGAAAAGGGCCCCTTTACACTGGTGGGCAACTGGGAAACTGCTCTGTTACACTGGTGGGCAACTGGGAAACTGCTCTGTTACACTGGAGGGCAACTGGGAAACTGCTCTGTTACACTGGAGAGCAACTGGGAAACTGCTCTGTTACACTGGTGGGCAACTGGGAAACTGCTCTGTTACACTGGTCATCAGTGGGGAGAATGCTCTTTTATTCAGGTTATCAGTGGACAGAATGCTCTGCTATGTTGGTAACCAGTGGGTAGAATGCTTGATTACAATGGTAATCGGTGGGGACAATTCTCTGTTACATTGGTCATCAGAGGGAAGGATGCTCCTTTACATTGGTCATCAGTGAGAAGGATGCTCTGTTACATTGGTCATCAGTGAGAAGGATGCTCTGTTACATTGTTCATCAGTGGAGAGAATGCCCATTATTGGCCAGTAGGAACAATGCTCTGATGAATGACATTAATGCTGGAACTATGCAGCCAATTAAGGAAATCAATATGCCACTGCCCTCTGCTTTAGGAACTCCTAACAACCTCTGGAGGAATGCGAGTGTTCCATGGAACCCTGGTTGATAAAGGCTTGTTGCTGGCAGGCTGCCAAGTTCTGTTCACATGGAAAAAAAAAGCTAAGATTTCAGTGCCTGTGTTGTGAACTTTGAAAATGAATTTCCCACAATGCCTATAGATACAGAGGTGAATAAGAACCTTTATCATGTGATTTGAATACTTGTTCAGAATATGTAAAAATTAGTATCCGTCATCCGGACACAGGTTCACTTTAAGAAGCTCATAACAACCAATCACTCTTCCTAGAACTCTAAACTGTTAAAAGGTGAAATCTGACTATTATTATTAATATTATTATTACCAAGTGTTTATTTAACATTGTTATTAATTGCTTCATTGCCAGTGTAATAACCTGTAATGTGTATGTATATTTGTGTACAAGTCTGCATACCTGTTTTGTAACTCATACGAAACTATTTTTTATATAGATACGTTTTTCTAACATTTATAAGTGTTTAACGCTTCAATACACTGCTGATATAAACAAAAAAAATGATTTATTATAAGCAGTGGGATTTATAGAAGCCCTGCAGATCATTGCTCTTTTTCTAACCTATTCTAATCACAAGCAAAACAGGAATAAAAATAAATTCATAATCTCCTGCAGTGTTTATAGAGAACAAAAGTTTACTGGAGTAAGGTTTCTAGCCTTTTCCCCCAGGTGGCCTAAAAAGACC